GATAACGCCTGGACAATAATCGTATAGAACAAGCCAGACAATAATCGGAAAGAGTCTGTAATTATACATAATAATTTATGTTAACCTCTAGTTTCTTATACACTTTATACTATACTAAACTATATGGCATTCTATACTACGCGTATTAATATATTACACAATTTAACTTATCATACAGTCAATGGTAGTTCTAGTGTCAATAATCGACGTGCTTCGAATGATTCGGCGCTTCGAAAGCTGTCGAGGACGTTTGATCGAAACTTTGCCAATGATCGAACTCGAGCGTCCATCGAATTTCTACGATCGGGCATTCGATGTACGAGCTGTTCGAAGGAAAATAAAAAGAAAAAAAGAGTGTTTGTATATGAGTGTGTATATGTGCGTGAGAGAATGGAAGAGGGAGAGAGCATGGGAGAATATGAAAGGGAATGAGAGACGAAAAAACGCGATCGGCGGTCGCACGAACGATGTACTCTACGTGTGCTTTTCGACAGGTGGTGATCCGAACAATCGTTGGAGCTACGCGAACGGCTACGTGAACTCGCCAGCTTGGCACGTGCCACACCGGGTGGCGCAGATTCGTAACGTAATGGTTCACGCAACGCCACGCACCCTCACCAATCGATTCATACCGGCATACCCACGTTGAGAGAACACTATGGGACGAACGATCAAAGAAGTATCAAGTACCACGCTGCTCGCCGAGTCCCCGAGAATATACAATACAATATATCGGGGGTGGGCCGTTACACGTGCCGCCACCGCCGGCTCCCTTAGCACGATAAAGAATCACGTTGGCGGAAAGAAAGGCCAGAAGAACACGCGGCTTTCTTCCATCCGTCCACGAACATATTTCACGTTTTCCTCGGGATCATAGTGGACGATCGTTCGATCGCCGACACTCCTGGTTCTCCTAGAAATTGAACCGAATCTACAGACTCTACTCGATTATTGTTCCCAACTCGGGTCCGCGCTGGGACAATAATCTTATTGGGAGAAATGCTTTAGACTCTCGTAAATTCGTTTTTCACGGGCCCCACCTCCAGTGGTGGGGATAACGCCTGGACAGTAATCGTGTAGAACAAGCTATACAATAATCGAGAGGAGTCTGTAACAAGAAAAGGTTTCGAGGTGTTACGCTCAGATTTTAATAGGCTTTTGTATAACGATGGAGATTTTAGACTGAAGCTAATGATACCCCCTTTTGGGGGTAGAAGGTCAATAGTTTATAAGATATTTAATTTTTAAGTTTTAAGAGTCACATATGTAAGGTAGCATTAGCACGTTTAGCAAGTAAGCGCATAACGCAGGTGGGAAGGTGGTTGCCTACCAGTCCAAGTTGTGAGGGTTTCTTGTGTCCGGATTCGAATCCCGGCGGGTCTGTTAATCAGCTTTTTATTTTTTTTTTTTGTACTCAGTCTTTATTTTATAAACTATTGTAAATTTGCTTTTAAAGTATTAGTACTAAATTTGTTGAAAGTAGGAATTACATTTATTTAACTTGCTTATACTACCATACATATGTGACCCTTAAAACTTCAATGTTAAATATCTTATAAATTATTAACCATCTACGTCCAAAAGGGGGTATCAGTAGCTTCAATATTACAATCTCTATCCTTCTGCAGAAACTAATTAAAATCTGAATGTAACACCTCGGGACCGTTCCTTGTAAGCCGAGAGAAATTTCGTGGCCAACGCGAGTTTCGATTCGACTCTTTTGCTCTGGTCCAATCGCTCTCCGTTAGTCAGGGCTTGAAACGGTTCCGAAAATAACTATTTCAAACTCTTACATAAAAGTTCCGATTGAAAGAGTTACGAACAACCTAAATTTCAGGCTATATAAGTTTTTTGTTTAGGTTCTATATCAGTTCTATAACAGTTATATTTTAGGTTCTACATCAGTTCTGAATATAGTCTATTGAACCTTGAAGTATTATATAGAACCTAAATAATACTGATGTGAATATAGAGTATATTCAGAACTGATATAGAACCTAAAAAATAACTGTTATAGAACTGTTATAAAACCTAAATAATACTGATATGGGAGCTGATATAGGAACCGTAACTGAAACTTATATAGCTTGAAATTTAGGTTCTTCGTAACAGTTATTCAGAATAAAAGTTCTTCATAACTGTTTCAAGAACCTAAACCGAAATCATATAACAGTTTTCAAGCCCTGCCGTTAGTCTCGTTAGGCATCATCGGTATGTAGTTGCCCGCGTTCCATTCGCACCTCACCTCTGGTCGTCGCTATACCGTTACGAAAAACCGGGAACACGCGAAGACTTCTGAAAGACGTCCGACACGTGCTCCTGCTTTCTCGAAACGTGACCTCGCGACGACACCATCGTATTGGTCACGTTTGCACCATCCATCTTCGCACCTTTAGATGATAGCGAAACACGACGATCCATCGATCGCACCGCACCATTCGTCTCGTTCGTATCCCCGATAGAGTGCTCTTGAACTGCACCGAAAACCAACACGAACCTCTGTCGATGTCGTCGATATCCTTGTCTTGTTCCCTTGTGTCGCGCGACCGCGGAGATGTGAATTTTTTCACGTCGCCAGAGTAGAGCTGCGAGGTCGTTCTTCGTTCTCTGAAACGGCCTTTCCAAATGGTACACGGCTACGACGAAGACTACAACGACGATCAAACTCACATCTCTGATTTGCAGTGTGGTACTCGATCCTCCCGCATCGTACTACACGTACACTCGAGAGCAAACACGACTTCCGCTAGGGGAAATAGTGACGTAGTGAAAGATCCACCTACCACTTGGTACCGGAAATTATTGAAATTTGAGATAACATTCGATTTAACATTTATTTCAGTACTCGAAATAAATTTACCATACGGTATACGACCGTTCAATTACGCTACTCTTTCTCCTAGTGAAAGCCGTGTTTGTACGTCAGTGTACCAAGGTCTCGCGTGTCCGATTGTTCTTCTCGTTTGCTCGCCTTAGGAGGCACACACCACCTTGTGAACCATTACGTAGCGAATCCTATTCACACGAATACGACACCAACGATGATGATATGTTTGTCGCCTGTCACACGGATACCGTATCGCACACCATCGTAGGGCCCCTGACATACACACACACACGTATGTACACCCGTGCCTGGGCATATCTCTCCTGAGATTTCTCCCGGTTACACACCATTGTACACCGTTCACGTACCACCGACACACCTGCAAAACCGATCTCGTAACGCACCACGAGGACACGATACACGCACGAGCAAAAAAATTGTTTTTTTTTTTTTTTTTTTTAGGTATATATACCTCTATACTCTGCAACGTATGCGTATCATCTCTCACCGGTGGACAATGATCTTTGTCCACCCTCGCGATTCTACGTTCTCTCTTTCATCCTTCACCACCCGACACCGTTCACAACCCCTTTTTTCAACTTCTCTCGGAATGTGGCCTTCTTCCAGGTGTTCGCGCGCTCTCGATGTTCCCTTTTCCGAACGCGTCGTTTCGCGCGTCCACCAACAATACATCGCGATCGATGACCCCGTGTGTGTTCCTTCGGTCCTCTTCGACCCGCCAGTAGTGACCGTTTTATGACCGTTTTATGGCCATCTCTCTTGAAAACTGGAACGATCCGATCTCGAACGTATACCATCCGATCGATCGATCGGTACCAAATCATTTTTCTTCCTTCGATCCACCGATAGTGACCCTTTTATATCCGTATTTATTGAAAAATCGGTACGATCCAATCTCGAACGCGCACCGTCCAATCGATCGATCGGTGCCAAATCGTTTTTCTTTCCTTCGCCACGGAGACCACCCTCTATCGTCTTCCACGGATATCGTTCTCATCCGAACAACTCGATATCGAGCCGAGATACCAATACGCATCTTTTCCGAAATTTTTCACGCGACGGTTCGATTCGACGACGGATCATTCCGAAACGAAACGGACGTTAACGATTCCGGTGTCGAATACGCGCTTCCATTTTCGTTTTTCCACGAACGGGATATAATATAATATTGTTATTATTATTATATAATATAACGACAGCGGTGTTTGTTCGATGCCGGTGCGGGGTTAACGGACGTCGAAGATGACGGAGGGAAAGCAACGGTTCCTTATCGTCGACGAAGAACGCGCGCGCGCGTTCGTCGCGTCGGTGTGTTCATCCGACGTTTTTTTATAATTCTCTGTATCTCGTTTTTTCGATCATTCGTCGACATACCGTACTCGTTAACTCTTATATCACATGTATATATATATACACAAATATATATACACACAGACACATTATATACATAACTATACATATGAATACACACCATACACAGCGAGAACACCAATACATCCCCAACATACACACGTATAAATAT